GGCAGCTTGTTTTCAGTCTTAACATTTATAGGTTGTTTTTCAGTGTGAATTTTGTTGTTGCTATTTTTGATTTAGATTATTGACGTTTTTTTTTTTGCTGCTTTAAATGCCAAACCAATTTGCGGACATGCCCTAAAAAATCGCTTAATAAAAACTATGCGTTCGATCGCGATCGTTATAAACAATAATTGTGGACCAGTGGATGCTGATGTTACTTACCGTTCTAAATCCGTATAGACATTATCACAGACCTCACAGCGTATATCGAAACCGTTCTCGTCGTCTGTGAAATCGTTATCGACCTGACTGTTTATCGATATGTTTTTCTTATCCTTCGCAAATTCGTCGCCGCTGTAAAAGCCTGAAATATGTAAATTGTTAAGAAATCAAGAATTATTAGGTATTATCAACAAATCCGGATTTAAATAAATTTTAAAATAATATTTTACAATAATGCATAAATTTGGTTTATTAAAAAATACAAATAAAATTAATGATAAATGAAAAAAAAAATGCATGTAATTAAATCAATTTGATTATTTACTATTTCACCGAAATATTAAATATATTTAAAGAGATTAAATTTTTTAAATATTGTATATATAATAAGTAATATAATCTTATTTTTATATTTATTATAATTTATTTTATTGGAAATTTTATAATATGCTTTAAATAATTATATAAAAAAAAATTGAACAAAATATAAAATAAATAAATAAAATATATTTCTTCCTTAAAATATTTAATATTTTATAAACTTTTTGTTTCCAAAACTTTACTAACTTTAATTTGTTTAATATGTTTTATTGTTAATAATATTTTGTAGCTATGATTTCTAATTATTCCCACTTTTGGGATTCCTCGCACAATTTAGAGCACTCACACTTTAGTTAGGAACTTCTTCACTTGTCGATGGACGATTTCCGATGATGAGCTTTTTTTATACTTATATGCGTATATGTGTATGGTTATATGGGTTAACAATCTAGGGAGCACTTGACACAACCGTTCGGTTTCGCGTTTGAGGAACAAGTGTGTCGCAGTGGGCGCATTATGCCGCCGAGCTAATGTTTTATTTGCTTGCTAACAATCTGCGGAAGGACTAGCCAGGACGCACTGACATATGACCAGCACACACACACATGCACACACTCACACACACCAGGACAAACACGCAAACACTTAACACAAAATTGGTAGCAGCGACCAAATCGTGTGTGCACTCATATAGCTCATAGAGGGCATAGAGCTTGACGTTGAATAGATAATTGTTACCAAAATGAAAGTAAAGCACCCTCTGCCCACACACACACAAGCAAGAGAGAGAGAGACAGACAAGCACGGAGAAAGAGTAAGAGAGAGAGAGAGAGGTAAGAATGACAATTCCGAGGGGAAATGACTATCAGAGCGAACGGGCAGAAGTCCGGCGACTTGGACGCGTCGTGAACTTGGACAACCACCAGGTGACACAGGTGAGCAACAGCAACAGCCCCTTAACCCTCTGCCCAGGCCAAGTGGCCAAGAATGCAGCCTAAGGGATGACAATGTCCAAAGATTATGCATGCAAACACCAAAACACATCCACAGGGAGGACTCCGGAGCTAGGGAGCGGGGGTTGACAAGGACTCGGTCGGTGAGCGCGGTTAGCTTCGGTTCCGTTGGACTGATTTTGGTACGAAAGTCATATAGCACCTTATACCAAAACAAACTGAAACTGGTGTGGCACAGGTGTTGCCTCTCAAGGCAGCCCACCCCCTAGCCCATGCTGCCGCCGCCTCCTCCCACCCCATAGGTGACTAGGGGTGACTCTTGATGAATATGTATTCATATACGTGCCTCTCGTCAGACTGCATAATTGCGGGTCGCGTCTATGTTTCGGGTCAAAAGTTAATTTTTCAGCGTGTGCAATATGCCCCTCAAAGGAGGGCAACTGTGACTCCTACTGCAACTCCTGACTCTGGCAAAGATTCCCACGTCAAGTTCCTTATGCTCGCAATATGTCTGGCCGGAAGCGTGGGATATTGGGCGGCTGAATTTTCACCCATGCTTCTCTGGGCAGGCGCAGCGTCAGCTGTGGGCCGCAGATAAGGCGCAGGCTTCAGAAAAGGCTCTAAGTAGAGCCGAGTGGAATGACTCTGATGCCATATGGACGACGTAACGCTAAGTAATTGCATATGCAAAGTAATATCGGGCAATTTTCTTATACAGCTGCATTCTCGATGGTGGGAAAACGTTTCTAATGCTTAAATATAGAATAACTTC